AACCCACCACTTTGCAACCCCCAATGTAGTCCTTGATTCAGGCAAATCTCATCAATGATTGCTAAAGCTGCTGGGTGAACTGGATAGGCAGCTGATCCTGTGACCATGTAACGATCCTACAAATGACTTACTAATTACAAAGGGGAAAATGTAGAGAGGCTTGGTGATCAAACTACGTCACCAAGAGGACCACGACCTGCCATCATTTGCCCTGAGGTGACACAGCGAGAAGTACCCAATTTCACCAGGTAGTCCTCGTGCCAAAAATATTAACCTTGAATCTAATCATGAATGAACAACCAGATTAATCCAGCACGTGGGACATCTTACAAGACAACTGGCCTGGACTCTTCAAAAAAGCCAATGTCACGAAAACAAATAGCAATGAAAACAACAAAAAGGTGAGAGATTGTTTTAAATTAAGAAAGACTAGAGAGACATAACCAATGATCATATATGAACTTTGATTGGATCCTGGATAGGAAAAAAAAATCCAGCTATAAAAGACATTGAGGGGACAATTTAGAGATTTGAGTACAGTTGGTATGCTGGATGCTGTTATGGTTATAATAATGGTCTTGTGGTTTTGTGGGAGAACATCCTTATCAGGAGATGCTGAGATATTTCGAAGCGAAGCGTCAAGATGTCAGCAACTTGTTTTCAAATCATTCAGCAAAATAAAAGTATCTAAAATATACAGAGAGAGGGAGAGAGAAAGAGAAAGCAAACATGGCAAAAACGCCAACAGTTGGAGAATCTAGGGGAAGGTATAGGGGTGTTCATTGCACTCCTCTTTCAACTTTTCTGTAGGTTTGACAATTTCAGAATAAAACGTGGGGAGCGGGTCATTGCAGGGTGGACAGAGAAGGTGTGATGGAGCTTGCTGCCAGGCCCGAGGCAGTCCGCCACCCACACAGGAAGTTCAGAACGGCTCCCCACGTTACACTAGACTAACCTCCTTTGAGTCTTCCTAAAAGAGGGGAAGGCCTACGTTTCGCATTCCCTGGACCCCCGGGCCCCCATTCAGCCCCTGGTAAAACCCCCGTCACTTGCAGACACTCTGAACCAAACACCCACTGGAAAAGTGTAATCAATGGAAAACACACCTTGCAAACACCACACAGGTGGAGAGGAAGAGTCTTCCTGTATCCCAAGCTCTGGGACGGGGTTCCACCCCCTGCCCCGGCCAGGTTCCTGGCTGGTGAGGCCTCTGGCTGATCCCAGGCCTATGCTCGACTGGGAGGAGTGGTCCACCTACCATACCAAGGTTTCTCCTTTCTTATCCTCTAGGACACGGGGGGCTATTTCTAAGTGGACCTCGGGCTCTGGTGAGGAAGGCCCCCTATTCCTTTCCAGCACCATCCTGACTCAAAACTGTGACTCAATTATGTGACCAGTATTTCTTGAGTCCCAGGCACTGTTTTGGGCAGTAGGGGCACCTTGATGAACAAGCAGCCGTGGTTTCTGCCCTTGCGGAGCCCATGGGCACATTGCAACCGTGACAAGTGCCACGAAGGGGAGGAACAAGGTGCCAACAGAGCTGGTAGTGGAGGAAACTGCTGGAGTGACATATGAGTGACAAGCAGGAAATACAATCGACAGGCTCTGGGGATGGGTGGATTTGAGGGGCGATGAGAAGGGGGGTGTCAAGGGATGCTGCCAGGATTCTGGCTTGTGTCACTGGATAGACAGTGTTGGCCTTCAGCGGGACATCCTGGAAGAGGCCTGCAGTGGAGGGGGTGACAGAAATCCACACAGGCCACTGCATGACAGTCAGGCACACAGAGGAGAGGCCTGCGCTGTGCTGTGGGTCTCTGAGTCGTCACAGAGGCCATACGTGGCCAGAACCTGCCCATCTCCTCGGGAAGCTTCCATCACTCCCAGAAGGCCACCCATGAAAGTCTTCAATCCTGGGCAGTCTCCTTCTACTTTGCTCTTCTTTGTTCTCAGAAGATGATTCTGGGCAGCATCTCACATCCCAGGACACAAGGCTCCTCTGGCTTGCTGGAGCGGATGGTGCATTTCCTTTCACCCCTGAAATCAAGGAGGGGGCGGTGTGGAGGAGGGAAGCAGCTCACATGCACACACATGCAAGCACGAACATTCTCTCCGTCTCTCTTACACACACAAACACACACTCATAAGCACGATTCTGTCTCTCAGGTGTTTGATTAGCTCTGTAAAGACTGAAGATCATTTTATTTGCCAGGGTTTGGTTAGGGGAAAACCCAGTATTTGCGCTGGAGAATGGAGCCCTTCTCTGCTACCCTTCTCCCCCCACCGCCATCACCCACAATTTCCTAAAAACAAGAAATTCTTGGTGCAAGTGCATTTTACGTGGAACGAGACAAGGGGACTAAGCCTCACTTCCAGATGAACATTGAGCAAAACAGGGCATGTGTGGAAGAAGTTCCAGGAGTGTAAACCCTTGGGAATTAGTAGAAAATGTGGGTTGGATGTGCATTCATTTCCCGGTGCTCCTGCAATGAATTACCGCAAACTTCGTGGCCCAAAACAATGGACACTTACTCTGTCACTGCTCTAAGGCCAGAAGTCCAAGGTCAAGGTGTCAGCAGGGTCTCACTCCCTCCAGAAGCTCTAGGGGACATTGTGTTCTCTGAATCCTCCAGCTTCTGTGGCTCCAGCTGTCCCCTGGCTCGTGGCTGCTTCACTCCAGCCTCTGCCTCCGTCTTACCGCGGCTTTCTCCTCTTCTGTGTGTCTCTCTTAAGGACCCTTGTCACTGGATTTAGAGTCCACCCAGATAATGATCCCACAAATGTCTTCATCTCAAGATTCTCAGCTATGTCTACAAAGACTGCTTTTTTCAATAAGGCACATTCACAGGTCCCAAGAATTCTTATATGGACATATCTTTTGGGGGGAGCCACCTTTCAACCCACTGCAGGATGCAACTTTCACAGAACATGGGGGACAGAGGCAGCGGTTCAGCTCTCTTTCCTTCTGACTCGGCGCTGGCTCCTTGTGGTGAGGGCCACTCATACCAGAACTGCGCTGAGAAACCCATCGGTCCCGCAGGCACTCACCGATTCTCAACAAGAAAACAGAAGGCATTCTGGGAAATGCTGGAGGGCCCCAAACCCCTTCCCAGCTATGCAAATGATACCTCTCTTCACGGCCAAGTTCCAAGCCCCCTGCTTTGAGGTCCCTTGGCTGGCCACCCCAGGCCCCCACTATCCCACCCTCCATCAGACTCAGCAACCTTGGATGTTGATGTTGTTTAAACCCCTCGACAAGCATTTGCTGCCTGCCTACTCTATGCTGGACCCCAGGCTTATGGGGAAACACATCTGGCAATTAATCCTGCTAATTGCTTTGGGATGCTAGCCTTGGACTGGTTCTGGGACATCCCAGATTCCTGGGGGGTGAGTGGGAGGCTCAAAAGCAGTAAAGAAGCTAAATTCCCTAAAGCCAAAATCGCCCTCAAAGATCCCCGTTAAAGCACCAAGAGGCAGGTCTTGAGGCTCAAAAGCAAAACTCCGCCTGCTCCCTCACATGTAGGGAGGTGTCCCTGCCCTGCGGCAGAGTCAGTGTGAAAACGTGGGTTGGGGAGGAGAGGGAAATGAGTTATCGAGGCTTTCCTCTTTTCTTTCTCCATCTCCAGATTGTATAGTTGGCTTTCCTAAATTATGGGCACGTGTGTGCCAACCTATTGTGTGTTGTTCTCCTCGTGGACGAGCCACCCTGACAACAAGCTACTTGACAGCAGAAGGAAATGCCCTCACCTCCCGTTGAGGGGGCCACAGGGCAGGCTGCGCAAGGCTGGGCAGAGCAGGTGCCAAATGAAGTCGCTGAGGGAAAGTAGGGTTGGAAGGGGGAGTGATGCCATCACCCGAGTAGTGACGGGGGTCTCACTCCTCCAAGTGACTCTAAGAGATTGTTCCCAACAAGAGGAATTCTGGGCAGAGCTATTAAGACAGGACTTTCTCACCTCATTGCACAGGTCCAGTGACTTCCTCTGGGCCAAATATCCATCCAAAGCCACAACAGGGACAAAGGGCCACACCGTCCACTTCTGAAGTCTCAGGTGGCAGCCATGTGCAGAGAGTCATTGTGCCCAGTGCCTGACACAGCTCAACACGTGGTAGATGTTCACTCAATGTTGACTGCCTCAGAGAATTCTCAGGTCTGCCAATCTCAGCCGGGGCCCTGGGGCTTCCTGTATTAGTCAGAGTTCTCCAGAGGAACAGAACCAATAGGATGTGTATATATAGAGAGAGATTTATTTTAAGGAATTAGCTCATATGATTTTGGAGACTGGCAAGTCCAAAATCCACAGAGTAAGCTGGAGACCCAAGGAAAAGTTGATGCTGCAGTTGGAGTCCAAAGGCAGTCTGCTGACAAATTCCCCCTCTCTTGAGGGAGGTCAGTCTTGTTCTTAAGGTCCTCAACTGATTGGACGAGACCCACCCACATTGTAGAGAGCAATCTGCTTTGTTTAAAGTCTACCGATTTAAACTCAAGCCTATCCAAAAAAATACCTTCAAAGAAGCATCTAAGGTACTATTTGACTAAACATCTGGGTACCATGGCCCAGCCAAGTTGACAAATAAAATTAGCCATCACACTCCCCCACCCCTGCCCAACCAAGGCCCTCTGGGGCTCTTTGAAGAGTCAGGTTCTCCCTCGCATTTGCTCTGCCAGCTCCCTTCCAGGCTGGGCTGACCCTGTGGTTCTCCCCTGCCCTGTTCTACCCAAAGAGGCCCCAGCAACCTGAACTCCTCTTTCCTGGATCTTTCTCTTTCCAGCCAGGCAGCCCTCCCCCCCCCCCCCCCCCCCCCCCCCCCCC